TATAGCTACCAAAAGTTTGTAGTTCGTATTTACTTATTTCACTTTCTAGATTCTAGTGAATTATAAACATTGTATATAGCTACCAAAAGTTTGTAGTTCGTATTTACTGATTTCACTTTCTAGATTCTAGTGAATTATAAACATTGTATATAGCTACCAAAATTTTGTAGTTCGTATTTACTGATTTCACTTTGTATACTTTGGTTACAGATTTTCTTGTAGGCAGATTTTGTTAAACAAGACCGATGTCTGTAGGTTTACTTTCTTCTTAGAATTCTTATCGACTTCTTGAGAAGAATTCTAAGAAGAAAGTAAACCTACAGACATCGGTCTTGTTTAACAAAATCTGATTTCACTTTCTAAACTCTAGTGAATTATAAATATTGTATATAACTACCAAAAGTTTGTAGTTTATCTTAGACGTTCATTTTCTTAAGAATTTGGAGCAACAAATATAGTTACCCCAATCTTTAATTTTAGAATTTCTTCACGTTATATATTTGAAATATCGTATACAGATAACACATTTCCTTAGTTCTTCATCTTATGAACTTTAAATATTATTTGTAGCTGCTAAATATCACATTTCTCGAATGTTAGATAATATTTTATTGCTACTCTTTTGTCTTTATAGTTCCAAGCCTATTGAAAGTTAAATCTAAAAAAAAATATGTCTAGTTCTTTACTGGGTTGTTTCATAGTTATAAACAAAGTAGTGGTATCAGCACAATACATTATAAATTCATCGGAAGTCTTTGTTACTAAGTTAGTGGCAAATCGACGCTGTAACTACATGTTTCATGTGTGACTCAAGTTTTATCAGTTATTATTACTCAAAGTAAAGTTGTGTTCTGTTCTGTAAATATATTACTTCTATTTTCAGGGTTCTTATACACGAATTTGAGTATCAACATCTATTAAAAAGATGAAACATTTAACAATTGTTCTTATGATTATTGTTCTTCTGAATGACGTATTGTCGTGGGAAAGTGGTCAAGGTGGTTATGGATCTAAAGGCAGTGGACTTAGAGGAGGAGGAGGAGGAGGAGGTTTTGGCGGGGGAGGCGGTAAAGGTTTCGGTAGTGGAGGAGGCTCAGGCGGAGGGGGCGGATATGGTGGAGGAGGAGGATTTGGTGCTGGAGGAGGTTCAGGTGGAGGGGGAGGATTTGGTGGTGGAGGAGGATTTGGTGCAGGTAAAGGATCCAGTGGAGGTCTCAGAGGAGGTGGATTAGGTGGAGGAGGTCTCAGAGGAGGTGGATTAGGTGGAGGAGGTCTCAGAGGAGGTGGATTAGGTGGAGGAGGTGGGTTAGGTGGAGGTAAAGGACACGGCGGTTTAGGCGGAGGAGGTCTCAGAGGAGGTGGGTTAGGTGGAGGTAAAGGACACGGCGGTTTAGGCGGAGGAGGCTTCAGAGGAGGTGGATTAGGTAGAGGTATAGGACACGGCGGTTTAGGCGGAGGAGGCTTCAGAGGAGGTGGAGGCTTGGGACAAGGTGCAGGCTTCGGAGTAGGATTTGGTAGTGGAGGTGGTCTTGGAGGTGGATCACGAGGATCTAAGGGCGGCGGTAGCTATGGGAAACCTTGCAACTCCTGTGGGTAAGTTAATCATTAGATAACATTGGGCTAACCTAACCTAGTTAGAACAATATCCAGTGTTAAATATTCTGTTCGTGTATATGGATAACTTTCACATGATTTTACTTATTTTGTGGTAAATTATTATTTGTAAAGCTTATCTTTATCCAATGTGACTTTGATAGTTTTAATCGTATAAAAGATTGACTGTTAAAACTACATCAAAGTTTAAAAGTCAGAAGCTTTTTTATTTTCATAAACTTCCAAGATTAAATTTGTTTATATGTGATTTTACCCTCTCTTTGGATTTAATGTTATTTTAAAGTGACATACATGTCAACTATGTGAATCTGGTGATCTATGGTTCACGTCTTGTTACCACAAAAACACGCTCCGCAGCCTGGGCCTTATAAGTTACGGTGAAATCCCACTATGCAATTAGAGTAGCCAAAAAACTTTGGCGGTATTTGCTGTTGAGTAACTAGCTGTCTTCACTCCAGTCTATCAGTTAAACGTAAAAACGAAATAAACAAACAACATATCTGAGTAACAAGAATGTGTATATAACATGTAACACTAATTAGACACTCTTACAGTTTAATTGTGACAACTTGGACATACTTAAAAACTTTGTTAAGTCAAGTTGCTTATCAAATATTTCATGAAGTTTACTAGAACTTTAACTGGAGCTCTAATGAGGCCACGAAATCCGACGAATGTTTAGATTGTGAACTTCATAGACAGTATTAGTGCCCACAATCTTTTATGAAATTCATTACTAGAGTATATATACTGTTAGTGCAGATAGCCCTCGTGTAGCTTTGCGCGAAATTCAAAACAAAGCAATTGATTATAGCATTAGTTTGAAACTGATGTTCCAAACGTGTGTCAGCTGATACACTCAAAACGAGAACTTTAGGTCATCATACATTTTCTTCAGCCAACAAAGGTTGGAATTTTACAGGTTTAAGTTTATTGTTTATTGTTTCAAATAGTGTCGTATTCTGTGATATCGTTAATATGAGGAAGAAGTCTTTATTTTGGTTGATTGTTTCAATTTTTTAACTTTCAGAGGAGGAAGCCATGGATGGTAATGTTGAACTTAGCAGATGGAAACAGAGAAAACTCTTCATCATCGTATCCATATCTTCACATTTTTTATTATTATTATCAAAAATAAAAACAAACTTATCCTTCCATCTTTTTGCTGGTTATGAATAGACTGTCTAAATTGTTTGCATTCTATACCGAATTGAACACAAAATATTTCTGGAATTAAAAGCACGCTCTTAGAATTTTGTGTAAGAACTAGCAGAAGTGAAGGAAAGGTTGATCTTAGTTTAGAATATATATTGAAACAATTTTTTTATTGTAAAGATAACGAATTTTACTTGAGAGAAAAACTTTAACTTACAATAAAGTTTAATAGATATTCTGAACGGCTTTTATAAACTTGTCCACCCTCTTAAGAAGATATAAACCTCAATATCTACAACTTTCCTAGTCATGGTAAGGTCAAGAAGGTACAGCTTACCAAACACTGTCAATATGGTACAACGTACTAAACACAACCAATGTAGTACAACTTACTAAACACTATAACTGTGGTACAACTTACTAAACACAACCAATGTGGTACAACTTTCCTAGTCATAGTAAGGTCAAGAAGGTACAACTCACTAAACTCTCATGACGATGTATAACTTACCAAACTCTCTCTCAATAAGGTACAGCTTACCATACATTATCAATATGGTACAACTTACTAAACACAACCAATGTTGTACAGCTTACCAAACACTGTCAATGTGGTACATGTTACCAAACACTGTCAATATGGTACAACTTACCAAACACTATCAAGTGGTACAGCTTACCAAACACTGTCAATGTGGTACATGTTACCAAACACTATCAAGTGGTACAACTTACCAAACACTGTCAGTGTGGTACATGTTACCAAACACTATCAAGAGTTACAACTTACCAAACACTGTCAATGTGGTACATGTTACCAAACACTGTCAATGTGGTACAACTTACCAAACACTATCAAGTGGTACAACTTACCAAACACTGTCAATGGGTACATGTTACCAAACACTATCAAGAGTTACAACTTACCAAACACTGTCAATGTGGTACATGTTACCAAACACTGTCAATGTGGTACAACTTACCAAACACTGTCAATATGGTACAACTTACCAAACAATGTCAATGTGGTACATGTTACCAAACACTGTCAATGTGGTACAACTTACCAAACACTGTCAATGTGGTACAAATTACCAAACACTGTCAATATGGTACAACTTACCAAACACTGTCAATGTGGTACATGTTACCAAACACTGGCAATGTGGTACAACTTACCAAACACTGTCAATGTGGTACATGTTACCAAACACTGTCAATATGATACAACTTACCAAACACTATCAAATGGTACAACTTACAAAACACTGTCAATATGGTACCACTTACCAAACACTATCAAATGGTACAACTTACCAAACACTGTCAATGTGGTACATGTTACCAAACACTATCAAATGGTACAACTTACAAAACACTATCAAATGGTACAACTTACCAAACACTATCAAATGGTACAACTTACAAAACACTGTCAGTATGGTACAACTTACCAAACACTATCAAGTGGTACAACTTACCAAACACTGTCAATGTGGTACATGTTACCAAACACTGTCAATATGGTACAACTTACCAAACACTATCAAATGATACAACTTACCTAACACTGTCAATATGGTACAACTTACCAAACACTATCAAATGATACAACTTACCTAACACTGTCAATATGATACAACTTACCAAACACAATTCAAATACCTGTCGCCGATCATGTCCGTCCTATATGGTTGTCCACTGGGCCAGCCACCAGGATGTAAAAATTCTGGCTTACAAAAACACCGGCTGATCCGAAACGTAATGACAAAAAAAAAAATCTACCAAGCATGTGGTCATGTACCTTTTGATTATTATTCTTCACTATATTTACATGTTCCTTTATGCGTATTTCTAACTATCTAGTGACTGAACCAATAAACCTAATCTAGAACTACATATGAGACACTTAAATTCATATATGTCTATTTATTTATTGTGTTTTAATATGAAGATAAATTTGAAATTTTATAGCTGAAGTCTTAAAAAGTCCATAAATGTAACTGTATACAGATAACCATATATTAGGTTGAAAAAATTAATTCCATAAGCTGCGTCATAAAACCTATCCTCAAGTTGACCCAAGAATAGTTTTAAACCTGAGAACATAATGTAATATTTTTTTCAAGTCTAAGACAATATTTCATACTTAAAAACATCTAATATGATAGTTTTCCTATGTACAATATATTTGTAAATTTAAATATATATATAAAATCAATTTTGAGGAAACACCTTATAATCTGCTATTTGTTATATTACTAGGGGACCCACAGTAAGAGGGGCTCGTTGATGCATTGCACCGACGTTCAAAACGCCCTTAGTTACACTACCAATAGTGTTTTTTTTTAATCCTAAGATTTTACTTTTTAGTGCTATTAACCTTGTATAAATAATTATGTATGTCATATTCCTTGGAAAACCAACTTTATAACCACAATTAATTAATATTTTAAATATATTTACAACTCTGGAAACCAACCATTAAAATTAGAATACAAGCTCGTAACACTTGTCATAATAATAGTCCTGACGGGGCCTGGTGGTTTTGGCGCTCGACTGACAATCTGTAGATCGCGGGTTCGAACCCCAGCTCCGAACATCTCACATTTTCAGCCGTGGAGACGTTATAATGTGATGGTCAATCCTACTATTCGTTGATAAAATAGTAGCCCAAGAGTTTACTAGCTGTCTTCACTCTAGTCTATCAGTGTTATATTAGGGAAGGCTAGTGCAGATAGCCCTCGAGTAGCTTTGCGCGAAATTCCAAATAAAATAAACCTAACCAAGTCTTATTAATATTTATATCAGGACTTGCGCAAGTTAAGCATTATTGCGAGTGTTTATTTGGTCAGTTTTACCATCATTCTTAGAATAACTAATAAGCATAACGTATTTGGTTAATCTCTGGCTTCATTTGAGGGCAAATATAAGATCTGCTTATCATATACGGACTCTTCGTTATAAAGCCATATTTGAACTTTTTTGCCAGTTTACAATACGTACTAAATACTTGGAATCTCTGTCTTCCTGGAAGATGAATTGCCGAGAGAATGATATGATTTACCTGTTACATTTTTATGTTGGTCATGTAGATGTTGTAATGTGAATGTGAATAAACTTCGTTTATTGTTCTTTACAAATTAATTTTAGAGTGTTCTCCTCCAGTTTTGCTCATACCATTGTTTGAAGCTAGATTTCCATGTTTCTTTTTCAGTTTGGTTATCTCTCTCAAGCACTGGTTATTGAGCCTGATTCGTGCTTATATGTATTTTACTGTTCTAACATTGACACCTATAGTTACATTTAGGTCTCAGGCAAGGTTTCTACTGGATTGTCGTTTATCATGTAAAGAACATACCCGGAGATACGTAACATCACTATTAAAGAGTTGACCACTTATTATGAATAACACAAGTTTCACAGAGATCCTACAGAAAGATGAAGTATTTCAGCAGTTTTGACTCGGAGTAGCCTTAACCAATCAAAACTTTGGTCTCCAAACGTTTAAAAGCGGGCTTTCTGTTCTGGGAGTCACGAGAATATTCACTACACTATTGTTGAGAACAGTATGCCAGCCTTTACTTTTATGGGGATTCTGCTAGTGTAGCACTGTATGATTGGTTAGATGTCTGCCAATTAGATTGTAAGTTATCAACACGTGACTGTATTCTGATGCAATATATTTTCATACAATAGAGGGGAAGAAATCCGTTAATATGTTTGTATATTAAACCTATCTTGTTCGCTAATTCTATAATTATTTCCTGTTCTTACTGTACCATTATACGTATATCGTATTAGATTAACAATTCAAGACATCAGTGGCACGGCAGTAAATCTGCAGACTAAAAACCTGGTTTCGATACCACTGTGGGGACATCTTTGTGCTTAATTAAAAACAAAACGAACAACAATGCAATATAATTTATAAAAAATTCTTTTTTTCTTGATTAGGGCACTCGACTCGCAATCTGCGGGTCGTGGGTTCGAATTCATGTCCCACCAAACATGCTCGCCCTTTCAGCTGTGGGGGTATTATATTGTGACGGTCAATCCCACTATTCGTTGGTGGTGATGATTAGCTACCTTCCCTCTAGTCTTTCACTGATAAATTAGGGATGACTAGCGCAGATTTTGCCCTCGTGTAACTTTGCGCAAAATTAAAAAACAAACAACAAAAACATAACATTTTACTTGATGTTGGACATTTAAGTTAATATTTCCTTTTCGTGAAGGAGATACGATATTACTCTAAAGATTTTAGGCTAAATACATTCTTAATCAAACCCAATATAAAGGTAAGATTAATAAATCAAATTAAGTAGGAGTAATCTACACGTGTTTGTTTTGAATTACACGATAGTTATCTGCGTTAGTCGTCCCTAATTTCGTAGTGAAAGACTAGAAGGAAAGCAGCTAGTCATCACCACCCACTGCCAACTCTTGGGATACTCTTTTACTTACGAATAGTGGGATTGACAGTCACATTATAATGCCCCCAAGGCTGAAAGAGTGAGCATGGTTTGGGGGGGGGGGGCGAGATTCGAACCCGCGACCCTCAGATTGCGAGTCGAGCGCCCTAACCACTTGGCCATGCCAGGCCAATCTACATATGAGAATTTACTTTCACCATCTTAACTGTTGTTGTTATGTTTTAATCTTTAGCACACTAAATACAACCCTTAAGTTAACCAAATTTTTAATCATGAGACTTAATTTTAATTATATAATTTGGGTTAAGTTTTTACTTATACATTGATGTTACTTTCATGTTACCATTATTCTTCTATCGTAGGGTACGCCAACACTGAAAATTCTGGGATTACTAATAATGAGAACAAATGATAATCGTAAAAAATCAGTAGATATATGACAATTAAAAAACTATTAACAAAATGACAAGGCAGTTAGGTATTTTACTAACTTAGGTATTCAATATAGCGGAAAACGTAGCAAAAGTCTAAGTTCGAATTTATATTAAAGCTTAATTACTGCTA